GCTCCCAGACATAGGAAAATGAAGCGGCAATTTAAATAATAGCCGCTTCATTTGAATTTACATGGCTGCCGCGCTGAGTCGACAAACAGCTAATCAGCTGTTTGTCGGCTCAGCTCGATAGTCTGGACGCACGGGTGTCGACATCAAAGGTATTTGTCGACCACCCAGGTATACCTCATCCCAGGATCGCCCGCGCGTCCAGACTATCGCGTTGAGCCGACAAACAGCTGATCAGCTGTTTGTTGGCTCAGTGCGGCAGCCATGTAAATTTAAGTGAAGCGGCGATTATTTAAATCACCGCTTCATTTTCCTATGTCTGGTAGCCTAATCTACATGCCTCTGGCGACAGAGGCATGTAGTCTAGCTGTACCCTCAGATACTTCTTGGTCCCTTAACTTTTCGAACCAGTCATTATGTGACTGATAAAGACCTCCAAACACATAATTAATCCTTCAGTATTTAGCAATATTTGAAATTTTCTTACTGCAGAATCCAAAATGTCATTCATCCATAATTCAAAAGGAGTTTAGGACAACAATTACCGGAGCATGATGGCCCTTTAATCCATGTGTTGCAGTCCCACATAAGGACTTAAGGACAATGAAATTCAAATGAGCTTTATTGGCAATGTAACACTTTGAGGGTATGTCTACACTACCCTCCTAGTTCGAACTAGGAGGGTAGTGTAGACATACCCTGGGGAAGTAGGGAGCCGCTCCAGCCCCTATTGGTTAACCGGTTAGCTATTTACATCCCTAGTGCAGAGTGCCCGCTTGTGACAGCGAAAGCCCTCCCTTGGCAAGGAGTGCAGTGGATTCACACTGAAAACGGGGCAGGGAGAGTGTGCCCAGATACCTGTCCTCTGCACTTATACACCACTTGCCACCACAGGGCCTCCGGATGCTTTAGAAGCCTCACAACCCACATAGCTACCCGTGGGGAAACTGAGTCACAAAGCTGTGCAGAGACTTCCACGGGTTACCCAGCGGCAGAAAGGGGACTCGACTCCATGGTCCCAGCCAACTGTACCAGGAGGTGGCTTAAAGGTCCGGCCAATGGCGTACAGTGACATTAAGTGGCAGGAGAGAGGTACTGCCAATCCCTGCCTTCCCCCTCAGCATTCAAAGGTCATGACTCAGGTTCCAAAGACTGAGGAGAGTTTTAAAAGTGGCAAGTGCAGGATTTATTTGCCTTAGTGCCTTGAGAATTCATGAGTTCGAGCAGCAGTAGCGGGGGGAGCAGGGGAGGCTGCCGCGAAGCAGCCTCTGTCCATGGTAGGCCTGAGCTCCCCAGACAGAGGCTGCTCCGCCTCCCACGGAGGCTTGCCGTGGACAGAGGCTGCTCTGTGGGAGATGGAGCAGCCTCTGTCTGCAGGGAGCTCGGACCCCCGGAGACAGGGGCTGCTGCCGCCCTGCACTGCTGCCTCTGTATCAGAGGCAGTAGTATGGAGTGGCAGGCAGCTCGTCCACGAGGGGAGCTGGTTTTTAAACTGGATCCCCTTGCAAACCAGCTCCCCTGCACCTCTGCCTCTGATACTGAGGCAGCAGCGTGGGGCATCGGGGGCTCCCTGGGTCTGGAGTGCACTGGCTGCTAGCCCCGCCCCCGGGGACTATAGAATAGTCAAGTAACCAATGAGAATTCATGTGATTACTCATCTATTCTACCACCCGATATCTGACCTCCCTAGTGAGAGCCAAGACTGGTGGCTGTAAACAAACTTTATGGGACTGTGGGAAACTTGCCCACACCCTGAGAAGTGGCCATCCAGCTCACTCAAATCATGGCAGACCACAGATGTTGCTGGACCAGACTAGAGAGGTTCGACCTGCATCGACACTGGAACATGTACACTGCAATGATTCCGCGAGGCTCGCCCCCTCTAGAGACAAATGCTGAGATATTCAAAAATCCTAATGATTTCAGGTGCTTAAAAGGGACAGATTTTCAGAAGGCGTGTGTTTGGCACTGGCTAAATATCAGACCCCATTGTCACATCTGAAGCTGGCACATGAGGCAAAACACGAGGCACCGAGTTTGTCTATTTGCTTCTGAAAACGTTGGCTTCAGTGTACAAGCAGAGCAAGATTTGCGGGTTACCTTAATCCTGTTTTATAATTGGCTAACGCTGTTACCAAACAACGCACAAAGTGAGTTCGCTCACCCAACATTTAAATAGTGCCCTGCCTACATGCATCTTCTGCTTTTATTTTTAAGCAGGCTATTACTAGATTCAACTACAATGTGTTAACGAAGCAGATTTCTCTATTTTGAAAGCCTATGCAGAGTCTCCTAGACAATTAGCTTTAACATCTTTTCAATGCTTATTGCCTTTGCTAGTTAACAACTTCGCTTACTAAAAGGAAACAATCCAAAACAAGGAAGTGAACCAACCTATGTGTAACTCGCCGGCTTCCTATTTAAACCAATTTTATGTAACATTTACAGGTTTTAACACTTCTCTCCTTTTGTTGATAAACTCTGGTGGGTAGCTAAAGTGTGATGTAACTGGCACACTATAATTCGGTTGTAAAACATTGTGTCAGCTCTCTACACAACATTAATTACATCCTGTGTATAACTGATTTTCACACTGCTATCTAGGAAGGAGACATGGGATATGTGGAGGTACTTATTAGACGAGACAAAACCTAAAAGCTACACCAGGCTTTATAGCATCAGTCTGAGTTTGTATCAAAGAGCTTGAATGGGGTATTGTCACAGAGTACGATCTTAGCCAATGCTTCGCTGGAACCGATCTGTATTCCCAAGGTTGAGAACACAACATCAGAAATGTACCTGTTAATTTTCAATACTAAGTCTTGGAACATGGGAGAAGTTCCAGATGACTAGAAGAAAGCAAATGTGCCAATATTTTTTAAAAAAGGGTAAAAAGGGTGATGCAGACCTGTCACCTTCATATCGATCCTGGGCAAGATAATGGAGCAGCTGATATGGGACATGATTAATAAAGAATTAAAGGAGGGTAATTTAATTAACACTTATCAACAAGCATTTATGGAAAATAGATCATGTCAAACAAACTTGATAGCTTTTTTTTTTTAATGAAATTACAGGTTTGGTTGCTAGGGTAATAATATTGATGTAATCCGCTGGATTTCTGTAAGGCATTTGAGAGTACCACACATTTTATTTAAAAATTAGAAAGATATAGAACCAGCGGTGAAAGTACAGATACCGTCCTATTGCAACGTGGGTATCTGCCAGCTCTTTCCGTAGCTCCCTACTGGCTTTTGCCACAGCTCATCCAGCTCTTGCTGGAGCAGCACACGAGGCGCACCTGCTTACTTTCTCCTCTAGGTAAAACTATATAAAATTAACACATTAATTGAATGAAAACCTGGCTAAGCGATAGGTAAGGCCCTACCAAATTCATGGCAATAAAAAACCATGTCATGGACCATGCAAATCTGGTCTTTGGGGAGCTTTTATCTTATGCTATACAGTCTCAGAGGGGTAGCTGTGTTAGTCTGTAACTTTAAAAACAAGTAGTTAGAGACTAACAAAATTATATAGAATCATGAGCTTTCGCGGTTAAAATCACTCCCCGCATCTTTGGTCAAACCTGCAGTGGGCCTTTCTGGGCTTGGAAATGAGGATGCCTGCGTTTTCTCCTGATCTGTAGATGATGGCTAATGGGAAGTGCTTTACACGCCCTTTCAGAGGAATTTAAAACAAGCCTTGCTTTTTGACTCTTAATAGAGGCAAAAATGCAATTCCTTCTCCATGCTGGGTATTGTAGATCCTAACTCATTTCACACGTTGTTTACAATACTGCTACATACAAAAAAAAAACCCAAGTCTGTTTTGG